AATTTTAATCTCCGGAAATCCTCGAAAATTGACAAAAATTTATAAAAAAATTTACTTGAAAAAAGAATTATTTGATAATAATTAATGAAATTCTATGAAAAAATGTTATGCATGTCGGAACCTTCATATTGTAAATTATTTTGTTCTTTTGTTCTCCGATTTTTACAATCCCTTTGTGAAATTTTAATTAAATTGAGTCTCTTTTTGTTAAACTTGAAATAATGCTATTTAGCCAAATTTGTGTTAAAATTTACGATTATTTCAATAATGATAACAATCTTTATACCAGCAAAAATCCTTAGACATTTTTATTATTACTTCAATTTTCAAAAACCCTAAATTCCCTTTAATTTTAAATTCGTTGTTAAAATTTGGGATAATAATCGAGATAATTGGATGGGGAATTCGGGCAATTGAATGCAGTTCGTATTCAAATTCCATCGAACACCTTTGTGGAGGAAAGTTGTGGCGATTAGCACAAACCCAACTAAGTCTCCTACAATTTAATTACAAGATAGAATAGAATACAAACATTCATTTCAAACATGGGGCGAAATTGCGTCGTCGACTTGAATTTATTTCAACCACCAATCTGAACCATCTGTTATCATTCTTCGGCCAATAAAGGAATAAGGATAATCAATCAATCCGCCTCTCAAATATCATCAGATTTGATTTCTTTGACAGATTTTTCATTAAGATCGATCATCGCTTTTTCAGGTTTACCCCAAACGAGATATCACAAATATCGTCGAAAGCAGTCATTATTTGAAGATTGCGGCGTGGTGCAAAGCTGGATCCACACCTGGGGGCCAAGCTAGAGGCAAGTGCAAAACTGCGAGATGGGTCAAACCTTTCCGATGCTTAGGTGAGTCTTTTTTTCGACAAGAAATGGGGAAAAAAAATTTTTTTCGACTTTTTTTGGCTTGGGAAACGAGAAAATTTCGAAATTTGTTTGAGAACCTACAAAATTCTGAATATTTTACCAAAAATGGAAAATTTATCTTGTTTTTTAATGATTCTACAGTGATTCTCATCGAAAACTTATTATTACTGAATCACTGAATAAAT